TGTGTGTGTGTGTGCCACTACATGTGTGTGGGTATCAGAGTACAACCTGCAGGCGTTGGGGGTGTGGCCCTTCTCTACCGCGTGTGTCCCAGGGATTGAACTCAGGTGGCCAGGCTGGGCAGTAGCGCCTTCCTTTACCTGCTGAGCCATCTCACTGTCCCCTCCCCCACCCCTTTTTGTTGTTGTTAAGAACGCAGGTTGATGAAATACAGTACAAGAAGTGTCAGACTGCATAGTAAGGAGAATACTGCCTGTAGTAATGTCTAAGTCTTACTTCAGCAGCAGCAGCCCGAGGAGCTATGGCACAGACCTCACGTAGGCAAAATCAGCAGCCGTGGCTTCAGCACAGAAAAGCGTATGAAGCTGACTGAAGTTTGTTGACGTAGAAAGGCACTCAGGAAAAGAATAAAACAGAGCATGGGTGTAGGATTCTCAGAAGAGTCACAAGCAGTCCCTCCCCCCCCCCACAGGGTTTCTCTGTGTAGCCCTGGCTGTCCTAGAACTTGCTTTGTAGACCAAGCTGGCCTTGAACTCACAGAGATCGGCCTGCCTCTGCCTCCCAAGTGCTGGGATCAAAGGTGTGCACCACCACACCGCCCGGCTCAGAATTCGTTGAATAACAAATTCACACCAGGCATCAGTTTCAATAGAAGCAATTTCCCAGACAGTCTTGCTTTCCTTGACAGCCTTGTGGGGGAAGAGCACAGGTTCTCTTATTCCAGGGTCGATCATTGATATTAACTCTCAAACCACACATTATGCATCACTTTAAAGATTGGAAAGGGTCAAGAGGCCACAGCAAAATTCCAGAAGTTTCAGGGCAGAGAAGCTGGTAAGCGCCGCCGCCGTCGGAGCCGCTGTGGCCGTAAGGTGACAAAGCTCCTGGGCGTCTCTGACAGATGCCGTGGCTGCTGCTGCGGAGTCCGGCCGCACTGTGGGGTTGAGCTGCAGGGGTGACGTGAAGGACAGGCAGACGAGGCTGACAGGTTCAGGAGGGTGAAGCGGACAGGCTGATAACAACCGAAGTAGATTGGTCGCCTCACACAGCCATGCAGAAGCCCCTGGGACAGTCGGGAATTCGGGAAACCTGACATTTACATCAGGCTGTCCCATGTCAGAGGACAGGTGGGACTTGTCCTTCCTTTATGGGGCTCGGATGAGAGAGCTCCGTTTCCTCAGTCTGGCATTCCTGATAAATCCTCGGGCCTTGTTTCATGACCTGCTTTTAATATGCTCATGTGCTCCTAGAGAGTCAACTTTCCCTGATACATTTACACACAGGGTGGCTTCCTTTCTATTCCTTATCAGTCTGTGCTACGTGGGTAGTACTGGACAGATGGTGTCAGTCACGTGTCCACGCAGGTGCACAGTTGTCTTTCATCCTCAAAAATGGAGTCTCTCAGGGCAGGGGCCTACCTGAAAAACCACTGTTTTACACAGTGTGGAGAAACTCAGAGTGAGACACAGGCCAGTCTCAACAACTGTGTTCTATTCTGTTGTGTCCTTCTCTATTGCATTTTGTTTTTAATGCTTTGTCTTTCCTTTTTTTTTTTTTAAGATTTATTTTTATTTTATGTGTGAGGGTGCTTTACCTGCATGCATGTCTGTGTACCACATGCTTATCTGGTGTCCTTGGAGGCCTGAAGCGGGAGTCAGGTCCCCTGGAACCTGTAGTTACGGGCAGCTCTGAGCCCTCATGTGGTGGCTGGGAATTGAAACTGAGGCCTCTGGAAGAGCAGCCAGTTGATCTTGACCTCAGAGGCATCTCGCCACCCCTCTAATCCAACTTAGCTTAGTCTTTCACTTTGAAAAGTGGTAGTGAGAAAGAAAGAAGCCAGTGGTTTCCTTGTGTGAGTTACTGAGGAGACAACGGCAAACAAGTCATTTTGAAGAAGCGGCCCACGTGACCGGGATGCAGACTCATCGGGAGGTTGCGCCCGCTGCATTTCTCCAAAGACACAGAAGCTTCACTTGCTTCTGGAAAGAACAGGCAGGGTAGGGACTGGTGCTTGGGCTTACAGACCCTCCCTGGTGCAAGGGTACCAGGGCTTGATGTCGCCTGGCTGCCACACTGCAGGAGGGGCTTGTGTTCACTTGTACACTTTTGGAAACTAGACAAATGCCAATCTTCTAACCGACAGCTCTTGTGCCACTGTAGACAAAGAACAGTGAGAAGAGAGGATGGTGTGACAGTGATTTTGAAATGGAGCTGAGGCAGAGCAGACGCTGTGTGGTGGCCTGGTGGCCTCCTCTTTGGCACGTGTCTGAGTTGAGCTCTTTGCTATAGTGACTGAAGCGGCTGTAACTCACGGAAAAATGCTGGTGTGGGTTTCATTGAGAAAGCGAAAAATCCATCTTTTCAGAAATCACTTTTCTTTAGCCTTTGTGTGTGTGTGTGTGTGTGTGTGTGTGTTTAATTTTAATCTTTTTTTTCAGACAGGGGTTCTCTGTGTAGCCGTGGCTGTCCTGGAACTTGCTCTGTATACCAGGCTGGCCAAGATCTGAGATCCACCTGTCTGTGCCTCCTAGGTGCTGAGATTAAAGGCATGTGCTGCCATGCCCAGCCTAGTTTGTGTGTGTGTGTGTGTGTGTGTGTGTGTGTGTGTGTGTGTGTGTGTGTGTGAGAAAGATAAGATCTCATTACACAGCCCAAGCTGGCCTTGAACTCAAGACCTTCCTGCCTGGGCTTCCCCAGTGAACCTTCATCCCCAGCTTCTTCATTCTTTGTGGAGAGCCAGGAAAGGCTGGCTTGGAGTAACGATTCGGTAGGAGACAGAAACAGGCGTCTCCTCACAAACTTCCCAGTGACTGTGGCAGTTTCGTCACGTTATCTGTTGGTAACCGCTTTGCCTGTGAATTGCCAGTAAATGACGTCCTATAGTGTGCCATGATGAGTTTCTAGAGGGTGTCGTGTTAACACTGCAGCCCCATTAACCTTTAGGAAATCAATATCTCCATCTCAGGATTCAGAGAAGATGTGCATTGAGATTGTCTCCCTGGCCTTCTGCCCGGAGGCTGAGGTCATGTCTGACGAGAATATACAGCAGGTGTTTGTGGAGTACAAGTTCTATGATCTGCCTCTGTCTGAGACAGAGACTCCGATGTCCCTGAGGAAACCGAGGGCAGGAGAAGAAATCCACTTCCACTTTAGCAAGGGTGAGCTCCCCTGCATGGTGAGTGGGCACAGGAGGCAACCAGACATTTGTTGTGAACAGAGCTACTCTGGGTTTCCAAGAGGGAGGTGAATCCACTCATTCCCCCTAGTTATCATATTTACCAAAGAAGTCTATGCATATGGCTTAAAAAATATCAAGTAAGCCTGAAACACAGATTTTAATTAAGCCGTCATTTATTCTACAGTATCTCTACAAATCACTCTTTCTACCCCTACCCCATGACTGAACTCTCTGTAATGGCTTTTTAATTTTTTTGGCTATTTTTTAAATTTACTAATCTATCTAAATACTACTTACACTGCTGTTCTATGATATACTAATTGTAGATGTCCCTATCTCAGATACACATTTTAAGGTATGCTACTCTACATCCACGTCCTTTACTCCCACACAACTGGGTCATAACTTATTATTTCTGTTATTCTAGAATAGATATGAACTCTTGCAATGCTAAGTCCCTTCCTCTGCGTTAGCTTTCCTTCCTGTGACATTTGTTGCCCGCCTCTGCCTCTAGAGTGCTGGGATAAAGCATACACTGCCATGCCTGGCGTGATTTTTTTATTTTAATAGATGTTTCTCAGTAGCTTTCACAGGAAGGGATATTAGAAGTAAATAAATATTTTTGGAGAAAGTCAGCCATGATATCCATTTTTTCTATCTTCCTATTTGATTGATACACACACACACACACACACACACACACACACACACACATGCATGCAGGCATGGACAGGCAGCCACAGATTGTATGCACACAGATTATTTTAGCTATTTTCTTATTAAATTTTATTTAGATTTATTTTTATTTCACACCTGGATATTCTTCCCACATGTATGTCTGTTCATCACATGCATGCAGTGCCTGCAGAGGTCAAGAGAGGGTGTTGGAATCCCTTGGGAAGAGTTACAGATAGTAGTAGTTAGTCACCATGTGGGTGCTGGGAATTGAACCTGGAACCTCAGTGCTCTTCACCTCTGAGCCACTTCTCCAGCTCCAATTTTACCTATTTTCTTTTTTTAAGACAGCATTTCTCTGTGTAACAGTCCTGGCTGTCCTGGAACTTGCTTTTGTAGACCAGCCTGGCCTTGAACTCAGAGATCAGCCTCCCTGTGCCTCCCAAGTGCTGGGATTAAAGGCGTGCACCACTACGACCAGCTCGATTTTAGCTATTTGCAGTAAAATCTTATGAAACAGGGAGCCAACCTGTAGGCCTCCCTTGCCTGTTTGCTTTGTGTCACTGTAGGCTTTATCAGTCATGAGTCCTGTATGCAAAGAGCAACAATAGCCTTTCCCGTCTAGGGCCTCTTGTACACTAGGCAAACACTGTACCATGAGCTACAGACTCATCCCTCTACTCTTGGCTTTTCTTTTACCTTTCAGTGATAGACCTGGACCCAGTGGAACAACAAGGCAGAAGACAGTTTCTGTTTGCCATGCTGCATGCTCAAGATCCTGATGCGGGCTGGTAAGCCATTTCACATTGACAATGCAGATATTCAGATAGGATTTACCAAGTTTGAGTTTAGTTTTGCGCTAATGCTAATACTGTAATAATTTAATTTTCTCTTGATGGATCTCCTATCTACTTGAGTCAACTTTATGTATCTGACTGCCCATTCAGTTATTTTAGGTTTAGTTTGTATTTCACCTGTGGCAGGGACTTGTGTGTGGGTGACCGCAATGATAGGAATCCTGATAGTGTCCTACATGGGGCAGACAGAACATTTGGATATTCTAAGGTCATTTAACGAACTTCTCACATACACAGCAATGCTGTGTGCACACCAATACTGTGCCATTCTAATGCCTATCATATACTCTTATACTTATCTTTTCTTCTCTCTCTCTCTCTCTCTCTCTCTCTCTCTCTCTCTCTCTCTCTCTCTCTCTCTCTCTCTCTCTCTCTCTCTCTCTCGACGGTTTCTCTAACAGGCCTAGCTGTCTAGGAACTTGCTTTGTAGATCAGGCTGGCCTCAAATTCACAAGAGATCCGCCTGCCTCTGTCTCCTGAGTGCTGTGATTAAAGGTGTGACCCACCACTGCCTGGCTTATCCTTGTATTTTAAAAAATACCTTAAAAATTGTATGTGTGGGGTTGGAGCGATGGCTCAGCAGTTAAGAGCACTGGGTCGCCCTTCCAGAGGACCCAGGTTTGATTCCTAGTATTCACACCACAGCTCACAACCATCTACACCTCTAATTCAGGGGATCCAAAGCCCTCTTCTGGCCTCTTGCAGGCACCATGCATGTATGTGGTGCACAAACACCAAGTTTTATAAACCTTTTACTTAGGTGTATGGGCGTTTGCATGTCTGTTTACCTCTTCCTTTGGCTGTTAAAAAACCTTGCTTTTCTTTACTCTCTTCTGCTTCCGGTTGGATTTCAGTTGACTTTGCCTGTGGTGTCTGGACCAGTATGGTACAGCAGACAGCACCTTGTGTGTCAGAGCAGCTTTTGAATCTCAGCTCCCACTTCTGACTCCGTGGTCTTTGCTGTGTTGCTTGGATGCTCTTTGAAGAGTGACAGGAATTACCCACAGCACTTGATCTTGTCCCTAGCCCACAATAATGCCAGTACCCTGGCTTTTTGGGGTCTGAAGTCAGTATACTTGCAGCTCATGGCCAGTGTGCTGCTCTGCTTCAGGCAGGGGTGTGGTCTTTCAGATCCTTTCAGAACTTGAGTTTTCAGCCCCATTCAGCTGTCTCATCACAATTAGCAGCATTTGCTTTTCCAAGATTACTGGAAGAGCCAGGAGGGACGGCACACACTTGCACTTGGGAGGTGGAGTCAGGAGGCCAGTCTCGGATAGCTATGTAGTGAGTTGCAGGCCAGCCTGGGCTTCATGAGATTGTCTCAGAAGGGCTGAGGCAGGCTAGTGGGTAAAGGTGCTTGCTTCCAAATCTGATGGCTTGTGTTCAATCCTCAGGATACACACGGTGGAAATGGAGAACCAACTCCCAAAAGTTGTCCTGACTTCTGCGGATGCCCAACCCTTTCCCAAAGATTCCTGACTTCTGGCTCCTTAGAAAGGAGGGAGGCAGGGAATGGGATTCAGATTCAGGGAAAACACTATTATTTGTGATTACTTCTCCATTTTTGTTTTATGTGTACATGGGTATTCAGCCCGTGTGTGTGTACCACGTGGAATGCCCACAGAGGCTGTCAGATCTGCTGGGACTCGAGTGATAGATGATTGTGAGGCAGCAGGTGGGGGCTGGGAGTCAAACCCAGGTTCTCTGGAAGAATAGCCAATGCTGTATTCCCTTAACCACTTCTCCAAACTCCATGATTACTTTTTTTTTTTGGGGAGGGGGGGGAGGCAGGGTTCACTTTGTAAACTAGGCTGGCCTTGAACTCAAAGATCTGCCTGCCTCTGCTCCGGAGTGGGATTACACGTGTTTGTAACTTTAATGGTATTTTAGTTTTAAAACAGGCTGAATTAAATGGATTCTCCTTGTTTTCAGTTTAAAATTTACAGTGGTAAGTGATCCTCTGGATGAAGAAAAGAAAGAGTGTCAAGATGTCGGCTATGCGTACCTTGAACTGTGGCAAATACTTGAAACTGGAAGAGATGTCCTGGAGCAAGAACTAGAGAGTGAGTAATACAGTTCTATACTTCTGAGTTTCATTCGCTCAGAGAAAATACCCACTCATGTGTAACTTTAACCTGTTGACATCATTATCTGTAAAGCTGGCGGACAAATGCTTTTGAAGTCTTTCCCCAGCAGCTATATGTATTTCATTCTGGAACATGTCTATGCTTGTCTAGACTCAATCTTCGTAAGTGTAGAAAAAAGGTCTATTTTGTTTTTAACGTTTTTATTATGTATGTGTACACAGGTGTGAATCTCAGGGGACAATCTGTAGGCGCCAGTTTCTTGCCTTCCACTATGTAGGGTCTGAGGACTGACCCGCTGTCTGGCTAGCCCTAAAAACCCTTTCTTCTCTGTTCTGGCTTATGTGCTCCTTGTGTCTCCAAAGCACCTTAGCCTTTCCCTCACGTGTGTACACCACACTGTAATGGTTTCCCTTTCCTATGAAATGAGGCAGGGAACTCCAATATGTCAAATACTAGGCATTAAAAGTGTATAATTGGAGCCGGGCGGTGGGCGCGCACGCCTTTAATCCCAGCACTCAGGAGGCAGAGGCAGGCGGATCTCTGTGAGTTCGAGGCCAGCCTGGGCTACAGAGTGAATTCCAGGAAAGGCGCAAAGCTACAGAGAAACCCCATCTCGAAAAACAAAAACAAACAAACAAACAAACAAACAAACAAAGTGTGTAACTGGATGAGTGTGATGGTACAGGCCTGGTCTATACAGTGAGTTAGGGCTAGAGTGAGACCCTGTCTCAAACAAACAAACAAATGTGTGTAAATGGAGCCCTGTTACTGCCTAACACCTTTCTTTCTCCTGTTCCACAGTTGTGAGCCCCGGAGACCAGGCCATCCAAATTGGAAGGCTGAAGGTTTCCCTTCGAGCAGCTGCTGCCCTCCACAGCATTTACAAGGAGATGACTGAAGATTTGTTTTCATGAAAGAACTACTCCACTCTAAGATTTGAGGGAATCACTGGGAGAGTCTCTTATAAAGTAACATGCTATGCCATAAATCTGGTCTCCTGTGCTATCTGCTGTTTCTCAAACTAACGGCGAGGCTTACCACCACCCGTGAACTTCTGTGGTACTAGTTGGATAAAGGCATTTTGTTCTAACACCATAACACTTTAGTAGGCAAGACTTCATTTCAGGAACTGCAAAGAAATGGCCATAAAAGACAAATTTACAAAAAACAAAACAAAAAAATCCCAGTTTATTTATCTTTTAGTTCTTCCAAAATTCAAAATATCAAGTCCTACTGCTAAGGAGAGAAAACAAACAAACAAACATAAAATCTGAGAAGCCCCTTCTCTTAGTCACAGTAGAGGAGGCGAAGTGGGACAGGTGGATGCAGAGCCTGCAGGGAGGGCAGCAAGAGAATGTCCCCAGTACTTCAGCTGGTCATCAGAAGTGACCAACACAGGGTGCCGCAGAGAAAGTAAAGGCAGGAGCAGCAGAGTCCAGCCTTGTGGGCGTGCCTCCTTCCAGCTTCTCTTCTTGTCAAGACACGTCAGGCCAACATGCCTTACTCTCTTTCAGATCTGTGTAGAGTCCTGTGAGCCTCCCTCTAGATTTCACCTGCAGAGTACACGGCATGGCCATTCTTCCTTAGATGTCTCAGAAGAGACAGTGGTGACTCTGCCTTCTAGCACTGTACCACAAGTGGACTCGAAAGGAGAAAAACCCAGCCATGGAGTGAGTGCCAGTGCTTACGTCTTCCGAGGCAGCAGAAACGCCCCAAATGTGCACGAGGCAAGAAACCAGGGACTTAAGTCGAGCCGTCAGCCACTCGGCCTTTAGCTCAGCCGTGCGTACACCACGGTCGCTAGCAAAGGCCAAGAGCCTTTCTTGAGAACTTCAGATCTGGAGCTTAAGGGACGGAAGGAGGACTGAACCTGCGGGGCCAGAACCATGCTTCAGCTAAGTATGGTGGCTCGGGGCTGGAGTCCCACCCAGCACTTGGGAGGCAGAGCCAGAGGATTACAAGTCTGAGGCCAGCCTGGTTTACTGAGACTTCAAGGTTAGCCATGGCTACATAGCGAGACTGTCTCAAAAAGCCATGAAAAATAAAAATGCAAAGGAAAAAGAACCATAGTAGAAATAGTTAGTGGTCAGCTTATACCACTGTCTTGGTAATTCAGCTTTGAAACAGCAAAGATAGGTTGTCAGAAGAAAACAAACGGTATCAAGAGTGGGAGGAGCCTCCTGCCCTTCCACATCGCCTCCCTTGCCAGCCATCTGAACGGGGCCACTGGCACGTGTCCTGGTGGGCCTGGAATTCCCCGAGTAGCTTGGTCCACACAAATGGCCCCTAAACCCATAAACACATACGGCAAAACGTCAACAAAATCAAAAGGAGAAACAGTTTCTAAGTCATGTCGGATTTTTAGGAGTTGTCTGCAGAGAGAATGGAGCATAGGACCAAGGTTCATATTACTTTCTCTTTTTCTTGGGGGGTGCAGAGCTGTGTCTGGAACCACGGTTTGAGCCACGGCCTGAACTATGTACAGATGCCTTCCTCTTCCGGCTCATACTTCGACTCTGTTCTTCCTCTTCCTCATAACGGCTTTCACGGTCCGCTAAGCAGAAGGCAGAGTGATTCGTTAGCTTAACATACCTACTATTAATGGATAGCATGAGCCAGTATGTCAATTTGAGTGTTAATCTTCATTTAGTCAGTTACTAGTTATGTGACCTAGACAAGTGCTCAATCTTTCCTCCCAAAGAGTTATTTACAAGGAGAATTAAAAGGCTACCTGCCCAAAGCACTTACCACAATGTCAGGGGTACAGCAGCTAACACATTCATTATTATTATTATTATTATTATTATTATTATTATTATTATTATTATTTTGTTTTGTTTTTTTCCGAGACAGGGTTTCTCTGTGTAGCTTTGGAGCCTGTCCTGGAACTCACTCTGTAGCCCAGGCTGGCCTCGAACTCATGGAGATCCGCCTGCCTCTGCCTCCCGAGTGCTGGGATTAAAGGCGTGCACCACCACCGCCCGGCTCATTTTAATTTTTAATAATTTCTATTTGGGCTTGGCCTCACTATACAACTATACAATATTCCTAACTGTAACGTTCTGACTATGGGGAATCACACTTCTGTGCACACTGAAAAGATGGAAGGGATGGAATCAAGTCCACCTGGAGCCTATGGACACATTCTAGATCTTACCTCTCCCTCTGGTCACATTCTACCCTTGGCTTAGATTTTGTTTCATATATATTTATGTATTTTGTGTGTCTGTGTGTTTGGGGGAGCACACAGGGCGGAGGTTGAAATTGGCTGTCTTCCTCAACCGCTCTCCGTCTTATGAGACAGGGTCAGGGACTGAACTTAAGAGTCCACTAATGGGGTAGGCGGGTCAGCCCTTAGCCCCCAAGGATCCTCAATCTTTGCCGCCCAGCACTGGGATCACAGGCGCACACTGCTGGGTCCGGTTTCATGTAGAGGCTCTGGGAGCCCAAACTCAAGTTCTTCTTCACTTGAGTGGCAATCATCACTTTCCCGGCTGAGGCACCACCCCAACCTCCACCCAAACAATTCTATAGAGTTCTTTTCCAGTTCTCACTGGCTCCCCACATCAACACCTCAAGACAAAGAATAAATCACCCCAAACAACAAATCTTAAAATAACCTTTTCGAGCTTCTTCTTCTAGCTCATCCCAGTCCTTCCCACTTTCTTCTTCACTGCCCAGAGATTCCTTGGAATAGTCTGGAAAAATATTGATTGCACATTAATCATGTAGAAATACAACATTTCAAGACAGGGTTTCTCCGTGTAGTTTTGGTGCCTGTCCTGGCTCTCATTCTGTAGACCAGGCTGGCCTTGAACTCACAGAGATCCGCCTGCCTCTGCCTCCCAAGTGCTGAGATTAAAGTCGTGAGCCTGGGGTGTTTTCTCCTTTAAAATGTTATTTTCCATGTGTGCAGGTGCATGGACAGAGGAGGGTGTTTAAAGCCCTCTTCTTTATCTTATTTCCTTCCAACAGGGCCTCTCGGTGAGCCTGAAGCTCCTGTTTGTTTTGCTAGGCTGGTGGCCTACAAGTCCCCATGGTTCTCTTGTCCCCCCCTCCCCCCAATCATTCCCTGGTGCTATCACAAGGGAGTTGGTGGCTGGCTTCCTATGGACATGCAGGGACCCGAGCTCAGGACCTGTACAGCAAGTGCTGTCACACACACTGAGCCATTTCTCTAGTCCATCAAACACTCTCTAACCTGATTCTTCTGCTTCTGATGAGTAATCTTCATCACTGTCCTCTTCTTCCTCTTCATAGTCATCCTCAGAAGGATTAAAAGTCTCATCCTCAATCTCAGACTCAGAGTCTCCTTCCTCAGCATCACTTCCCTGGTGAAGCACAGAGAGAATAAGACCCATTTACTACTTTATCATATTTGCCTTATTAACAAATTAATTGAATGTACTTAATACACTAGCATTTCATATATAAAAATAAAACATAAGTCAAATGACCAAGAGAGATAAAGGACTTGTCTTAAAATTATTCATTAAGGTACACTTATCAGACTCGGAAACAGCCAATTCATCTGTGGAAATTAATGACAGAACACTTTCTATTAATGCACTATGCCAAGGAGGGCTCTATTCAAAACAAGTTTTTAATTAAAAAATTTTTTTGAGACAGGGTCTCACTGTGTAGTCCTCATCTGGCACTCGCTATATAGACTAGGCTGGTCTTGAACTCACACAGACCTACCTGCTCACCTCTGCCTTCTGAGTGCAGAAATTAAAGGTGTGCATCACCACACCTGGTGACTATTTATTTATTTTTTAAAGATTCATTTCTTTATATTTTCCGTGTATAGGAATTTGGCTTGCATGTATGGCTATAAACTGGGTGTGGCAGTGCTGTGGCTTCGAATCTCCTGGAACTGGAGTTAGATGTCATGGACTGCCATGTGGTTGCTAGAAATTTAACTTGGGTCCTCTGGAGGAGCAGGCAGTGCTCTTAACTTCTCTTCAGCCTCGGGAGGACTATTTTTTAAAATACTTTTTATTTTATTTTAATCCCATCTCTTCCAAACACTAGGAACTCTGTGAGGAATAATTTTATAAATTCAAAGAAATGTGGGCAATGACTACCAATACCTAGTGAATTTATCATTTACCTGTGAAACTGTCCTACAGAAACATTAATACCGAGTTATGACTTTAGCTTCTCTCTGCTGGCCAGGTCCTTTATGTGCTACTTCTCAATGTCATTCTCTTGTACCTAACTGACCTCAGGCAACACTGCACACAAAAATAAAACAGGAAACCCCACACTCACGCACCTCACCCTCAGGTTCCAGGAAAGACCAGCCACCTTGTTCGAAGAAGCCCTCAGGGTCATCAACAATGGTCTTCATGATTTTAGTCCAGTTGAGGGACTGTACTCCTTCTGTGTACTTTAGGTCACAGGAACTAAAACGACATTACAAAATCAGAATCAAACTGTATTTTCCGACAATGTCAACTGTCATTAGGACTACTAGCTTTCACTGGGCATGCCTCAAATGGCTAGTATTTGAATTCCCAGAGCACTGACCCTCATGTCAGAAAAGCATTCCAACCCATACAAGCTTTGTTCCTCAAAACAATTCTGAGTTATTCCTTTCCCCCAGTGATTCTGTTCCTCACCTGTCTTTGTATGACTCACCCAGGCTTCCCTACCCCTTGCTGATGCCACCTTAACTTCATTCATTCACCCGTAATGAAGAACAAGGGTAGTTTCCCCTGGCCCTTCCCCACAACATTCCTGTTTTCCTGTGTGTTTTCATTTGACAAAGGCACTCTCTGAAGATGGGCATATCTTTCTAAGTATGTAAAATGTTTTCAATTTATAAGGTGCTCTCATGACTTTGTACTAACTCGTGTTGTGGACTGTTACGTTAGAGTGATGACTGAGAGGAGAAAAGCAGGCCTAGAGAGATGGTCCAGCGGTTACAAACTCTTGCAGAGGACCCGTGTTCAGTTCTCATCATCCACTTGGTGGCTCACAACCGCCTACAATTCCAGCTCCAGGGGATCCGAGTCCCTCTTTAAACTCCATGCCTACCAGGTACACATGGAGTGCATATACATTCATGAAAGTAAAGCATTATATTCATAAAATTAATCTTAAGGGGTTGGAGAGGTGGCTCAGTGGTTAAGAGCACTGACTGCTCTTTCTGAGGTCCTGAGTTCAATTCCCACATGGTGGCTCACAACTCCATGTTCTAGGAGACCTGACACCCTCACACAGATATACATGAAGGCAAAACACCAATGCACATAAAGTAGAAATTTAAAAAAATAAAATAAATCTTAAAAAGGATATAGAAAAAGTGACTACAGTGAGGATAAAAATAAATGTCTGTCTGATACCTACTAACAGAATCTGCTTTAAGCAATGTTAGCTTCACTAAAATTTCTACTTTCTAAATCTTAATAATTAACCTAGGTCCTCTGCAAGAGCTCATAAATTTAATAATTTCTAAATTTTCTAAAATAAAATTCTAAATTTTCTAAAATTTCTATTCTAAACACTATGGAACTCTGTGAGGAATAATTTTATAAATTCAATTATATAAATTTTTTTTTTTTGCTTTTTTTTTGAGACAGGGTTTCTCTGTGTAGCTTTGGTGCCTGTTCTGGATCTCGCTCTGTAGACCAGGCTGGCCTCGAACTCACAGAGATCCACTTGCCTCTGCCTCCTGAGTGCTGGTATTAAAGGCATGCACCACCACCCGGCTTATAAATTTTAATTTATATAAATTTAATTTTTAAAAAATTAATTAGCCAATTTAATTAATTAACCTGGGTCCTCTGCAAGAGCTCATATCTGCTAAACCATCTCTCCAGACTCTCTTTTTCTTTTAGTAGTAAGATAAGCATGGAGTACAGTCCTTTCCATATGGAACAACTAGAAAGTCACAGGGAAGAACAGTTTCTAGACAATGGAAGAAAGCAGCAAGAGCGCAGTCCAGTTCTTTGGGAGATGAACACAAACAAGGTTTTGTCTCAGATCTGCTTCAGTTCTAACTGGGGAAACTCAAGGCGGAATACAGGAAATCAAGCAACACTAGATCGCTTTCATACTCAATACCACCATGTTGCCTCCACCCCAACATTCTTTCTCTGTTGTCCTCTGCTGGCCAAGAGCTGGGAATGGCTCATGTCATTGACTGCATGACTTCAGCCTCCCTGACCCCCCCCCCCAAATTCCCTTTGCTAGACACACTGCCCTCTTGTTCTGTGAACACAGTACGAGTCACTAGTGTCACTGAGATGGTTTTTCATCTTTCCATTCACAATAAGGTAGTGGGCGGGGGAGGGAATCAAATCCAACCAAGGAGCAGTAATAGAAAAGCAGGTGACATCACTCCTCCCCAAATCATCAACCCTTATGGTCTGTAGTGAGTGGATTAGATGAAATTTCAGAAAAAGAACTCAGAAGGCAAAGACCACTTAAACTAAACAAATTCCAAAAGAACACTATTGCTGAAAGAAATAAGAGAATATAAGCTATGAAAATATAAACCATGGGGCAAAAGAGAATATAATCTATGAAAATATAAGCCATGGGGCAAGAGAGAGATGGCTCAGAGGTTAAGAGCACTGGCTGCTCTTCCAGAGGTCCTGAGTTCAATTCCCAGCACCCACATGGCAGCTCACAATTGTCTGTAACTCCTGTTCCAGGGGAATCTAACACCTTCACACCAATGCACAGAAAATAAAGCTAAATTAAAAAAAAGATAATATAAGCTATGAAAGAGGAAGTCCATACAGAGAGAGACACTGAAGAAAACCAAACTGAAATCGGATACCAGAAGGAATCCTTCAAACTGAAGAAAAAAACAAAAACAAAAAAAAAAAAAAAACAAAAAAAACAAAAACACATCCTTGAAGTCACAGATAAGAAACACACTACGATAATATTAAGTGAGATAGGAATAAGAAAACACCAAACAGTATAAAATCAATTAAGCCGGACAGTGGTGGCACTCATATTTAATCCCAGCGCTAGGGAGGCAGAGGAAGGGGTGTATCTGTGAGTCTGAGGCCAGCCTGGTCAATAGAGTGAGTTCCAGGACAGCCAGGGCCATACATAGAAACCATGTCTCAAAATGAAAAAACAGAAACAAAACAAAATTCCAAACCCAAACCAATACCCCCATCCACATGTCAAAGCCTTGGAATAAACCCAAGGGTGTAAAAGACCTCTATAACACAAGATCTTCCATGCTAATGGATTGGAAAAACTAATAGTGTGAAAATGGCTACCTTACCAAAAGCAATCTATAGACTCAATATAATCCCAATCAAAATTCCAACGCATTCTTCACAAAAATGTAAAACAAACAATCGAATGGAAAAAAAAAATCCTTAAAATTGGAAGCACATGTGAACTCAGATAACCAAAGCAATCTTAAGCAGGAAAGTAAAGTGTACATACTATCATTCTTGATTTCAAGTTGTATTACAGCCACAGTAACAATAGCATTGTACTTACACAAAACAGACCACAGATCGAAGGAACAGAACAGAAGATCTAGACATAGTAATAGTCACATGATTTTTGACAAAGATGGCAAAAATACACATCAGAGAAGTTAGCCTCATTAGTTAACAAAAAGGTATTATAATAAGAATATTCACTTGTAGAAGAATGGAACTAGATCCTTATCTCACACTTGCACCCCCAACAACAACAACAACTAACAAATGGGCTGGGCAGTGGATTTCTGGGAGTTCGGGGCCACCTTGGTCTACAGAGTGAGTTCCAGATAGCTAGGAGAAACCCTGTATTGAAAACAAACAAAAGACAAATAGGACTTCATAAAATTAAAAAGCTATACAGCAAAAGTTAATTGAGTGAAGACAGCCTACAGAATGGGAGGAAAATCTTTGCCAATTATCTGACAGAGGATTAATGTCTAGAATAAAGACAAAGGTTGTTCTTTAGAAGCAATGGGTGCTTAAAAAACATATATAACTCCAGTTCCAAGGGATAAGATGCCATCTTCTGGTCTCCGTGGGCACCAGGCATGCAAGTAATGCACAGACATACATGTAGGCAAAACATCTATACATAAAAATGAAAAAACACTAAGAACTCAAAACCTAACAAGAAATCAAAACAAACCAACAATACATAGGTTAATGAACAGACAGGACCTGGGGATGTAGCTCAGTTGGCAGAGTGCTGCCTAGCATGCAGAGCCTAGGTCTGATCTCTAAACCGCATAAACTGTGTGGGGCACACAACCAGCAATCCTAGCACTCAGGAGGTCGGGGCAGGATAGAAGAAGTTCAAGGTTATCCTTGGTGGTACATACTGAGTTGAGGTCAGCCTTGCTTTCATGAGACTCTGTCTTAAGAGAAGAACAACAAAAGCCGGGCGGTGGTGGCGCACGTCTTTAATCCCAGCACTCAAGGAAGAGCAAGGAGGCAGAGGAAGGTGGATCTTTGTGAGTTCAAGGCCAGCCTGGTCTACAGAGCGAGATCCAGGAAAGGCAAAAAGCTACAGAGAGAAAAGAAACCCTGTCTCGAAACCCCTCCCACCAAAAAAAAAAGAGAAGAACAACAAAATCTCAGTGAAAAGATTCATCAGGTAAGGGCACCTGCTAACCCGATGACCTGAGTTTCATCCCTTGAACCACATGGTAGAAGAAAGAACCGACTCCACATGTGGGTTGTGGCATGATGCTGTATGCCCCAGCCAACAAATAAATAAACGTAGAACATTTGGGGCCGGAGGGATGATTCAGAGGTTAAAAGTGCTTACTGCTCTTGTAGAGGACCCTGGTTCAGTTTCCAACATCTACTTCTCTTCTGGCTTCCATGGGTTCTTGCACACATATAGTACAGATCCATACACACAGGCACACAGATTCATAAAAGATATATAATTGTTAATGAAAATATGAAAAAATGTTAAGCTTCACTGGCCATCAGAGAAACAAAGATCAAAACTACCGATTATTTCATCTTACTTTAGTCAGAATATAAGTTACCAAGAAAAAAACAAATGACAGTAGTCAAGAGAATCCTTATACACTTATTCAATCTCTGTGGTCATCAATATGAGGCTTTCTCAAAAGACTAGAAATCCAATCCACCTTTGCACTCCAAGCCAGTATGTCACAGAGGTATTTGCATATCAGTGTTTACTGCAGTCCTGTTCACAGAAGCTAAGCTATGGAACCAACCCAGGTGCGTAAGAACGGATAAGGACCTGATAGACATAATGTCAATGCAACTGTAGGCAGCATATAAGAGAACTGAGCCAGTCTCAAAAAGTAAGTATTGTTATGTTTTCTCTCAATTGGGGTTCCTAGATTTATAGTCACATAATTTCGTACAAGTATAGATTAAATCAGAGTAGAAGTCAACTGTTTAGGTGAATGAAGAGAAGAGAGGGTGTATACTGTATCACCTAATACACACACACACACACACACACACACACACACACACACACACACACACACACACACACACCCCAGAGACAAGATTCTCATGTATTACTTGGGCTGGACTCCCAATTTCTGGGCTCAGGTGGACTCCCAATTTCTTCTGTCTCAAGCACCCAAGTAGCTGGAACTATAGGCACACACCATGGTGTAACAGACAGCATTTTATAACACAGGGCAAATGGGAAGTGGCCAGCAGGTTTACTTACTTCAGCCACTCCTTGATGGGGTCTAGAGAGGCGACAGGAATGGCATTGATCATTGTGACTTTCTTGCTGTAATCCTTGTAGACAATCACCATATCAAAATTCTTCAGGTGAAACTGGACCCTCTCAAAATGGATCAGCTCTACTTCATCCAATGTCACCACAAAAGGTGGCTGTCAAAATAGGAGTTGCATCATTATAATGTAAACTTCCCTCCAAGCATTTTTCAAATGATTTCATAATCTAAGTTACCACACAAAGGAAAACTGTTTTATTTATTTATTTTTCTCGAGACAGGGTTTCTCTGTGCTTTGCACCTTTCCTGGATCCTCCTCTGTAGACCATGCTGGCCTTGAACTCAGAGATCCACCTGCCTCTGCCTCCCTGCTGGGATTAAAGGCTTGCTCCACCACCTCCCAGTTTGTTTTTAAAGATAAAAGCTAGCCGGGCGGTGGTGGCGCACGCCTTTAATCCCAGCACTCGGGAGGCAGAGGCAGGCGGATCTCTGTGAGTTCGAGGCCAGCCTGGGCTACCAAGTGAGTTCCAGGAAAGGCGCAAAGCTATACAGAGAAACCCTGTCTCGAAAAACCAAAAAAACAAAACAAAAAAAAAAAAAAAAAAAAAGATAAAAGCACATACTAAGAACTTTTAGTGCTTCTCTCAAGGAGAATAAATTCAGGGAATCCTCAAAGAAACTTTTTAAATACTACAGACGCTTTAGAAGAATCATTTGCTTAATAAATTTTAAATTTGAGCTAGGCATCACAAGATGAAAATCAGAATAATTAGGATCAAAAGGAATCCCTCTCCTCACTCTCCCACCCGCTTTGGTTTTTGAGACAGGTTTCTTCATGTAGCCCTGGCTGTCCTGGACCTGTTCTGTACCAGGCTGTCCTGGAACTCACAGACATTTGCCTGCCTCTGCGTGCGCCACCACCCCTGGATCCTTCCCCTTTCTAACAATTCTGTTACTAAGAGTAAGCAAGAAGGATGTGGGTGTTACTCAGCAGTACAGCATGTCCTCAGCAAGTAGCAGACTGTGGGTTTAATCTCTGAACAGTGGGGAAGGAAGAAAAGTGAAAAGGAAAGGACCAGAAAATCAAAAGCAACAATGAAGGGATGCAAGAATACTCACCCACTCTGTAGCATTTACCAGTGCACTGCTAGTGGGCTGAAGGAGACAGGTACTCCTGTAGGGAGCCCCGTTAAACCTGAAGGAAAGAAAACAAACAGTCCACTTACTACACCAGAGACTGCTGTTGGCATAAAACAAGCATCTTCCCCTGGCCAAACGGCTCCCAAGGAAATCACTCATGTAAACCCTTAAGATTTTAAAAATGAGCGCACGTCTTTAATCCTAGCACTCAGGAGGCAGAGGCAGGCGGATCTCTGTGAGTTGGAGGCCAGCCTGGGCTACCAAGTGAGTTCCAGGACAGGCTCCAAAGCTACACAGAGAAACCCTGTCTCAAAAAACAAAAACAAAAAAAAAAAAGATTTAAAAAATATGTTATCTACTTTAAAAAAAAAATTACGTGTACATGTGTGCTCAAATGTGGATATGTGCCCAGAGGTCAGAGGTACCAGGTCCTCCTGGAACCATCTCTCTAGTCCCAAATCCTTACAATCTTTGAGTTGTTATCCCAATGATTATCAGTTATAGGAAGAAAGAATATATGTGATGTTAAATTATTAAAGAATCAATAACCCTTTCCCTAAAACCTAGACCCATGAGCTTTCAGGATAAGACAAGAGGAAGAGGAAGTGTATTACCCCAGGTCCCTAAACGGTACTTCAAACTCCAGCTCCTCCTTTGTTAGAGCCTCTACTTTTTCAATGAAATTCTTAAAGGCTGTTTTCAGTTTGTGTCTCATTTCTCGTTCCATCTGTGGAGGAAAAGAGTACTTTTCACAGTCATCACATGACTTGTTAACAGTATTTCCCCTTAAAAAGCTCAAAATTCTTTTGTAGTTTTAATTTTCCTTACTCTGACACTTGATCGTGTTTAAGCCTCAAACCATAAACTATAGAGCTGACTGTCTGGCCTATGCTTAGATCATAAGTCATTACACTGAATCACCAGAACAGATACTGAAGTTATTTGGTACCTACTTAGGAGCATAAAATACATCTCTCAGCTCATACTTAACCCCACTCTACTATTCTGTAAATATGATTCTGAATTCCTCAGACCTGCTCGGCATAGAGGTCATCTCGGTCATGCATGTGTTGATGTTTCCCCAAATCCGTAGTGATCTCTCCAACTTCTGTGTAGAACTGTACATCTGTGTGTCGTTTCTTCCCAAACATAATGGCATTCTAATGATAAACCACAGAGAACAGGAAAATTAGAAGACTTAGGCCACCCAATCTACAAAAAGACAAGATGCTTTAAGAAACAAAACACAGAAACAAAACCCTAATCAAAGTCACTGGGCCACTGTACTTTATAAACATATTATTAAAGCCCCCCATCCCCCTTTTGATTTGAGACACTGTTTCTTTGTGTAATAGCCCTGGCTGTCTGGATCTCACTTTGTAGACCAGGCTGGCCTTGAACTCAGAGATCTGCCTGCCTCTGCCTCCTGAGTGCTGAGATTACAGGCATGTTCACTCCTGCTGGTTATTAAAACCTCTTTAATGATTATGATTTTATGTAATAAAAGAATATTAAGCCGGGCGGTGGTGGCGCATGCCTTTAATCCCAGCACTCGGGAGGCAGAGGCAGGTGGATCTCTGTGAGTTCCAGGAAAGGTTCAAAGCTACACAGAAACCCTGTCTCAAAAAAACAAAAGAAGGATTGGAGATATGGCTCAGAGGTTAAGAGCACTGGCTGCTCTTCCAGAGGTCCTGAGTTCAATTCCCATCAACCACATGGTGGCTCACAACCATCTACAGTGGGATCTAATGTCCTTTTCTGGCATAAGGTTATACAAGCAGATAGAGCACTCATATATACATAAAATAAATAAAAAACTTAAAAAAAAAAAAAACAAAACCAAAAGAATATTAAGCTTTTGCCGAGAGCTTTAATCACAGCTAGCTTAGGTAGAAGAGTGTACCTTGAGGTGAAAGTGCAAGACAATAATCATCTCCCCGTCACAGGGCTGGAACAAAGCGTGCTTAATATTATTGTACAGAATATCCACTTTGTCTCCTCGAACAGACGTGAAGCGGAAACCTGGGACAAAGAACGAGGTCACCACATGTCAAGTAGTATCTTAGGTTAGGTCAAAGACAGGGAACTTAGTTGAACAGGTCAGAGGAAGCACCACACATCAAGTTCCCATTCATCCTGGCTGTCTTGTAATGTGGGTTCCTCCCAGCACTTCTCTGGCACCCTGTATTCTCTGAAGCTACAGTCCTGGCACAGGAGAGGTCATTCATACATACCATTGACGTGAGCCTCCAGGGAGCCTTGCATTCTCTTTTGAGCAATGTTTGGACGAATGTACAGATCTTTCAGTTTTGGGTTACTCCGGTTTAGGTTGATCACCAGTGAATCTTGTTTCACAATTCCCTAAGTGTTACAGAACACTGTGAGTGTGTATGCATCCTCACATGGACTCCCAAACACCTGCATGCAGGTGCTTGTGTTCAGGCTCACCTCTTTTTCTTTCTCTTCAGCTTCTCGGGTCTTGTAACGTTTTTGTACTTCTTTTATAATTCGAAACGCATTCTGAAGATTTAAGGCTGGTACAGTCTGTTCTCCAGGTGCTTTCATATTTGAAGCTCGGTATGTACTACAGAAGGACCATTTTTTTAGATATTAGGATAGGCAACCTGAACCGATCACTATAATCTGTAAGTGGTTAATCTTTCTATTGTGTGTACATGCTGATGTGTGTGCTTGTGTGGAAGCCAGAGGTCAACGCTGAATGTCTTTCTTAACCTCTCTCTACCTTTTTGAGAGGCTCTTTCAGAGATCCCTATAGATGGGCTGGTTAGCAAGATCAGGGGTCCCCCTTGTCTTTACCTGGAACTACAGACGCAAGCTGCTGCACCTGTTCTTTTGGTGTTTAGTACCTGGGTCCTGGGAGAGCTGAACTTAGGTCCTTAGGCTTGCATGACAACCACTCTACCAACTCTCTCCCTAAGACGATCTTTAAAGACAATTTCATATAGCCCAAGCTGGCTTTGACCTTGTTATGTTCAAAGGCTGGCCTTGAACTCCTGATCCTCCAGCTGCACCTCCCCGCTCCCAACATGCCCAGATGGCTTAATGTTTTTTTATTAACAAACAAACAAACAAACAAAAAAACTACCACTAAATATGAGAATAGCTGGAAATCAGGGAAAAAAAAAGTCTTTAAAATGGAAAATATCAACAGCTAATGCACTGGAGAAGGGAAATCACACTGATATTTTTTCAAATTTGACATAGTATCTCCTAATATTCCATCCCACTCCACAAAGGAACAGAAAACAGATTTAATGTAGCACACTTTCTTTCTTCTTCCTCTTTCATTGGTTTTTTTTTGAGGCAGGTCCTCTTGAATGTGGGTTTCAAGCTGTACTGGAGCACCACAGTTGGCCCACACATATTTTTTACCCGAGGATTCACTGCAAAATGTGTACCGTGAATATAAAATTGCTTATGAGGATTCTAAACTAGGATCCATACTTAAACTATTACAAAGTTATCATGTAAACCTAAACAAGTACCACCAGGCCTTGCAGTGGCTTCTTAAAGGAGGAAAGATGCGGCAAACAATGAACACCTGAGATCACTGCTCCACTGGCAAGGGTTGGGGACAGCTGTTTGCTGGGGACTCACATTTCCTTGACAAAAGTGGCTTCAGGGTTAGGAAAGATGTTGCCCTCATTCCTGCCCAGAGCACTGCCTGGACAATAGAAGTTGATTCGCAAGTAAGTGTAATCTCCTTCCACAGACATACTTATGTTCTGTTCAAAGAAAGAGAGAAAAGTTAGGTTTGTTGCCAGACTATAGAGAGGTTAAATTGACATTAGCAGCGAAGAGTGTAAGGGGCTGAGAATGAAGCACAGTGGCAGAGCATTTATCTAAAGTGTACATGGTCCTGGTTCAATTCCTTGCTGCAGAAGAAAAAGTCTGAATTTTGCTGCTCTTTTGAGTCAAACCTATGAAATGGAACCAAAATTGAGATAGGAACATTAAGCAGTGTTTTTCACATGATTAAGTGACTGCCTCTCAAAAATAAATAAATAAATAGGTGAGTAAATAAATAACCTAATTATAAACGTATCTTATAACAGGGATACATTTTAATGTTAAACAATGGTTACAAATCAAAGAAACACACAAATCCTAGGGGCTACAGGAGATGCTCAGGTGGTAAGTGCTTGCTGCACAAACACGATGACCCAGGTTTGGATCCCCAGCACCCACATAAAATCCAAGTATGGTATGGACAGCTATAATCCTAGGGCTAAGGGCAGGCAGAGACAGGTGGGTTTCCAGAGCTTGGTGGCCAGCTACTTCAGCCAATCATCCAGCTTAGAGCTCAATGAAAGACCCTGTCTCAAAACATAAGGTAGAGAGAGCTATGCAGTTAAGACACTTGACACTGACCTATGGCACATGCACCTATATGCCCCCCAAAAAAACATACACATATACAACACAAATTAATAAAAGCAAGTAACTGGCAAACTATCTTTCTAGACTAATTTAATTTCCTACAAAGTGAAAACTGGAAAGGAAAAAGAACAGGAGATAAAGGAGAGGCAGAAAACAGCCCATTGAAGTGTAGGATGAAGTTCAGAACGGGAGGAGAGCAGAAATTAGTCAATACATACAACTGGAATCTTAGAAACTTGACAGGTGACTGGTACCTTGATTGTGGCAATATGGAAGGGTGTGGCAATGCCAAATACGGGCATTATCACAGTCTCATATTTTTTATCAATGTAGATCTTCATTTCCCGAATATGTGGTTCCTTAGGCATCAGAGATGGGTTTTTGTAGGACACATTAGATTTGCGAGCTCTGGAGTGGCATTTAAAAAAAAAAAAAAAAAAAGGTAACTGAGCAATCTCTACAGTCACAGATCTCTAGACAACAGTCTCACTCAGTGTGGATTCCTACTTCTGAATCTGCTGTTCCCCTTTCTGCTCCGTCAGCCTCCTCTTGGCTTCCTCGTTGAGCTGGGCTGCCAGTTCCTTCTGATGTGCTCTCCGCTTCTCTTCTGCGGTCATTTCATTCTAGCAAAGTGAGAATCAAGTCACAGGACACGTGGAGCACTTGACAGGACACCACTGTTTTGTCAGTCTCCTGACACCTCTGTGGTTAGCATCATCATTATTATTATTATTATTCCCTAGCAGGAATGAAACTGGTACTTCTCTGCCTCAGCCTCTTGAGTGTTGGGATTACAGATTAATTAGCATGGGAAGGCCCATCTGGTTTCCAGCAGTCAACTTACCCGGGTTCTTTCTGTCAGTAACGCTGCCCTAGAGCCTCTTCCCAAAAGGTCCTCTGCCTCATCTTTCTCTTCCTCCTCCTCTTCATCATCCTCATTCTGTGGGAATAAAGTATAACACCGTTTACTGTTTTTTTTTTAAAAAACCAAAGTTGCTTAACTTTCCCACTGTACTCAGATTCCTGTAACAAGCACTTAGAGCTTTCTCACCTTTAGGAAAATCCCCACATTCTTTACTTTCTTTTTTACAGAAGTAAGAACAGTGGCTGGGCCATCCTAGAACAAAAGGAGAATTTAGACCTTCAACTTGAAGTGAACACTTGCTTTTAGCTTACCATGTATCTGGGCAATATCATGAACTTTCCAGATTCTAAATTGCTTAAAAAAAATTGTTTTTACTCTCCCAGTTTCTCTTTAGAACATACAATTTGAGCAATGGTTTACTTGAAATCTGGCTTTACTAGCTCTGTAGCATTTGTGTTTTCTTTTTTTAAGCCTCTTTATTTGTATATGGGAATAATAAAACTGCCTTCTTTATACAGATATTATAAAGATCAAAAGATGTGATCATACACATAGGTTCTTAGCTCCTAGTACAAACAATGGAACAAACTATCATCACTTATAACCAATTCTGGACTGGAGAGATGGCTCAGTGGCTAAGAGTGCATATTGTTATTACATAGGAAAGACCTCAACTCAGTTCTCAGCACACATGTGGGGCAACCCACAACTGTCTGCAACTCCAGCTTCAGGGGTTCAAAGGCCTCTGGCCTCCATAGGCACTCATATACATACACACACTTGGAGATGGCTAGCCACGGGAAGAGAACACTTACTAATGAGGAACCCACAAAAAAGCTGGGTGTGATCATACATAGCTGTAACCCCAGCTCTGAGTGAGATAGGAGGATTCCAGGGAATTTTTGTTACTAAGCCTCACCACCAAAACTTGAGTTCTAGATTCAGGGAGAAACACTGCCCCAAAGGAATATATAGGGAATGGTGAGGATACCCAATGCTCCTTTCTGGTCTCTGTGGGTCCATTTGTACACACATATATGCAAACATTCCAAGTCACATACACACATACAAATGAACGTGAAATATTAGAATTAGTTCCTGATTTAAAGTACTCATGGCCTGGCCAGAGAGAGTCTTTATTCCTAACCGTTCTATCTAGTCTAGGTAATGGACTTCACTAGTTAGCAACCATTAATAAAGACCACAAGCACCAGAGTCCATAACAGACTTCAAAGATTAGTTCACCAACACTGAAAGTTTAAGAGGTAGCACACCTCATCTACAAGCACGGTGTCACCAATGAACAGGGCATAGGTTTTCTCTTCTGGTTTTTTCCCATCTTTGTTGGTCAGGTCTGAAAATCCCAGGTTGATGCTGAAAACCATTCCTAAAATAATAAAATAGCAACCAGTTAGTAGCTACAGAAGGGTGCAAAAAAGAAAGATTTATACAGAAAAGGAATGACAGGGCATCACTCAAAAAATTATTTTCTTATTGCATGCATATGAAAATTACCTTTCTTTAGCTTATACTGATTTTTACTATTGATTACTAGAGAGCCTTCACGGAATTCAATTCCCATCCCAAATCTGAAAACAAAGAAAGAGAAATACAAGCAGCAGGTTAAAACATCAGTAATAGAGCCAAACTGTGATTACAACTTTCAGATAAAGCAGGCCAACATAGGGAAGTGATTTGCCCTTCATGATCTATCAAAAAGAAGTGTGTGTGTGAGTCATGGCTCATGGTCCAAACAGGAAGCTGAGGTAGGAACATCAATCACCATGGTTTCAAGGTTAGTCTGGGCTACAGATTGGTCTAATAAAACAAAGCAAAAAAGAAAAGAAAAATACAAAGAAAAGTTTTAGGCCTTTAAATGTTATATGACCCCATATTAAAAAATAACTCAGCCGGGCAGTGGTGGCACACGCCTTTAATCCCAGCACTTGGGAGGCAGAGCCAGGCAGATCTCTGTGAGTTTGAGGCCAGCCTGGGCTACCAAGTGAGTACCAGGAAAGGCGCAAAGCTACACAGAGAAATCCTGTCTCAAAAAACCAAAAAAACCAAAAGCATATACTAGTATTTTTAGCTTTTAAAGTAAAATTAAAATTTACTATACCATGAAATCAAATTGGGAGTTTTTCTATAAATAATATAGAAGAGACTAAACTGAGAGGCAGTTTTTCAGTAGAATATTGCTAACAAAAATAATAGGACTTGTTATGATCCTAAGTCCAGAACGAAACCAAATAGTAAGGAGAGTACCTAGAACTTGTTCCCTATATATGAGTTCTCTGTAACATTTTATCCAGCATTTCTGACTCATTGTTCAATGGTAAAATACATTTTTTGACAAACACCGTATTAAGTTCAAGATAAATACAGCAGGACATCCTGCAGCCATTAATTGTTTTCTCTCTCTGGTAACATTTGTTTGGCACACATAAACACATTAGTGCAAGATACTGGTGAGACAATTGGGATGGCACGTGCCTGCAATCCCAGTACATGACAAGTTTTGTGTAACTCAGGCTGGCAGGAGGGTCTGAAATTCAAGGTCAGTGTGGGCTATATAGAGTTGGGAGGTCAGCCTGAGTTATTGCAGAAAACCCCATCTCAAAACACAAAAATCAAACACTCCCAAATATTGGCGAAACCAGTAAAATAATACAGACTGAATGCTAGTCATGAAACTGAGTCAAGAGGCACAACACACTGCAACACACCCTAGGTTTTTCGTAATTTTGTTCAGCAGTTCTGGCTTCTGTTTCTTAACCACATCCATGACAGAGTTATACACATCACATATCTTCACACCTAGTAAGATAGAAAAGAGACATCAAGTATTTTTCAGAGGACGACAACAACAAAATGACATCATGTAATTCAACTGCTTTTACATACACATCCCTTAAAGTAGCGTTTCTCAAAGTGTGAAAAGAGGAGTATCTGTCATGAAGGGAATTAGGAATGAGAATTTTTAAAAAGAAAGCACATAACCATTTGTTTCTTCTGTGGTACTGGGGACTACAGCTGGTCTCCTTGGTGTTAGTAGGGATGAAATCCAGGCCCTGCAAGTGCTAGGCAAGTGCTCTTGATCCCCAAGCTACATCCTCAGCCCTGAAAATCATCTCTCAGAATCACTAAGGGGACCATGACACACCAGTATCAGGACCCAAACCTTCTTTTCTTTGGAATCTTACCATGTCTTAACTCCTTTAGCAACTCCTCTTGAAGCTGGAGTAAAAAGTTGTAGTTTTCTTGAACTTCCTGAGTAGGGTCAACCATCAGGGTGCGAACAAGGTTGGAGCAGTAAGATTTGAAGCGAATGCCCATGGCGCATGTAATGGCCCCAAAATGCATATGATTTTTATCACTAGAGACCAAAGAAAGAAAGCATTTTATCACCAAATCCAGCAAAGTATCACTGGCACACGACATCCACAATCACTGCTTGTCCTTGATACATCCCAAATTCCAAAGGAATAAAGATGTAAAATCCCCCCACTCCTAAACATACCACTTAAAGTAAAGATAAATGAGCAAAACTTTTAGGATAAAAATTCAAAGAGAGATGATAATTGCATTATAAAAATGGAAAGATAGTACAAATTATGGGTGTTAGGAAGTTACTTACATTCTGGTCCTCCATGAACTGTTGAGTTATAATTTTTGTCTCTGTGTATATTTGTGTTTGGTGGTATTGGGACTCAAATTTCAGGCCTTTGGACATCCCTAAGCCAGTGCTCTATTGCTGAGTTACAGCCCCAGTCAGTCCCTTATTGGCTCTTACAGTATGTCTTAAAATTAAAGAAGCGCTGGGCAGTGGTGGCACATGCCTTTAATACCAGCATTCAGGAGGCAGAGGCAGGTGGATCTCTGTGAGTTTGAGGCCAGCCTGGTCTACAGAGTGAGTTCAGAACAGTCTTCAAAGCTACACAGGAGGCGCCTGAACCTTGGAGCTGGTAGAGGTGTTTGTGAGCTGTCTGATGTGGGTGGTGGTATTTCAACTCTGGTCCTCAAGACAGAGCAGCAATACATGCTCTTAACTACTGAACTATCTCTCCAGTCCTCTTTTCTAGCATATTTAATAATTAGGACAAAAATGTTTATTATCAAATGCTAATGTAAGAAGTAATGAAATACACATATACATGGTAAGATTAAATGTAAAGCAGATTAGTTATTCTGTCTCTTTTGACTTTTTGGAAAAGTAAACAACAGGTTAAAATGCTCTGGTCATTATATTATGAAGTTTCCATACTTACCTCACTACACTGAATTTGAGATTATAGTTGCCACCACTCTGAATGATAGGAGGGTAACACATTTCCACAGTAGAAGGGTCTGCCCCGGCTAGGTATTTTTTCTCTTCGATGGCCTTTTCCACAGACTCTGCCAATTTGCTATGTCGAACTTTCTAAAGTATGCAGAAATACAGTAACACTCACTAAAGGGTAGCATGCTTCAGAAGTACATGATTTTTTTTTTTTTTTT